ACTACCCACAAACTATACGTATGCATACTATATTACAGAATCTGGCTTTTAGAGCCTTTGCGAAACGTTTCTGTCTATTATCTATGTACTACTGACAGCTGGAGGTGGATGGTGTTTGATTCCACCAAAAACCTAAATGCAGCTAGCGCCTAATGCCAGCCAAGTACCACAATGCTATTCCCGACTACCCACAAACCATACAGATGCATACAATATTACAGAATCTGGCTTGCAGAGCCTTTGTAAAACGTTTCTGTCCATTATCTACCTACTACTGACCGCTGGAGGTGGATGGTGTTCGATTCCACCAAAAACCCGAATGCGGCTAGCACCTAATGCCAGCCAAGTACCATCTATAATGCTATTCCTGACTACCCATAAACTATATAGATGCATACAATATTACAGAATCTAGCTTGCAGAGCCTTTGTGAAACGTTTCTGTCTATTATCTATGTACTACTAACTGCTGGAGGTGGGTGCTGTTCGATTCCACCAAAAACCCGAATGCGGCTAGCACCCAATGCCAGCCAAGTACCATCCATAATGCTATTCCTGACTACCCACAAACTATATAGATGCATATAATATTACAGAATCTGGCTTGCAGAGCCTTTGCGAAACGTCTCTGCCTATTTTCTACTTACTACTGATTGCTGGAGGTGGATGGTGTTTGATTCCACCAAAAACCTGAATACAGCTAGCGCCTAATGCCAGCTAAGTACCACAATGCTATTCTCGACTACCCACAAACTATATGGATGCATACAATATTACAGAATCTGGCTTGCAGAGCCTTTGTAAAACGTTTCTGTCTATTATCTATGTACTACTGACCGCTGGAGGTGGGTTCTGTTCGATTCCACTAAAAACCTGAATGCGGCTAGCACCTAATGCCAGCCAAGTACTATCCATAATGCTATTCCTGACTACTAATAAACCATATAGATGCATACAATATTACAGAATCTGGCTTGCAGAGCCTTTGTAAAACGTTTCTATCTATTATCTATGTAGTACTGACAGCTGGAGGTGGGTGGTGTTTGATTCCACTAAAAACCTAAATGCGGCTAGCGCTCAATGCCAGCCAAGTACTATAATGCTATTCCTGACTACCCACAAACCATATGGATGCATACAAAATTACAGAATCTGGCTTGCAGAGCCTTTGCGAAACGTTTCTGTCTATTATCTACGTACTACTGAAAGCTGGAGGTGGATGGCGTTCAATTCCACCAAAAACCCAAATGCAGCTAGCGCTTAATGCCAGCTAAGTACCACAATGCTATTCCTGACTACCCACAAACTGTATGGATGCATACAAAATTACAGAATCTGGCTTGCAGAGCCTTTGTAAAACGTTTCTGTCTATTATCTATGTACTACTAACAGCTGGAGGTGGATGGTGTTTGATTCTACTAAAACCCTAAATGCAGCTAGCGCCTCTTGCTGCCTTGCTAAACAATCCTCTTACCAAAAACAGTTAAGACCTCTCTAATGCCTACCTTTTAACCACTCTCTCTTCTGCCACAACGCCTATATAGCTTAACCGCTGCCTGCCTGTAGCTTTTGAACCTGTTTTTGTCCCTTTGCGCGAAAAAAATCTTACTGTCCTAGGTCTAACCTTATGCCTGTTTCTGCGGTTCATATCACTTGCACCACAGCGCTTTCCTCTACCACGTTTTGCTTTACCACGTCTTTCTCTAACCTTCCTAACAACGTTTTTATTACACTATGTTTTTCTTTATAATATTT